TATGCCACATATCGGACTCAAATTTTGCACCCATTGTGGCCATGGTATCCAGTATTGTTTTATTTGTCCTTTCTACTTGGCTGTTGCCTCTTGCCATTACTACTGCAGTTGTAAACATTCTAATTCCTGTCTCTGTCATATATTTTAAAAATTCTTTTGAAACAAAAGCTGATCTTGCATCTGATATCATTCGTTTGGTGTTAACGAATATTTTAAAAAATTTTCTAAAGTACGAATAATATGTTTACTTGATGTATCTGGGACAGCTTCAACAAACACAAATTTAGAAAAGGCATCAATCAAAACCAAGACGTATTTATTTTGAGATTTCGTTAACACAAATGGTTCTAAATGATCGGCATGATGTGTATGAAACGGTCTAGCATATTTTGGAATGGAATGTAGATAGCCAGACTTCTTTCATCCTGGTTGTTTATGGTATAAACAAGCAGGACAAGTCGCAATGTATTTCTTAATAAATCTTCGCATTTGTGGAAACCAATACCGTTCTTTTATTCTTTCATTGTTTTATCCTCTTTTCTCTGCTTCAGTTTTTTCAAAGTTCCTACTTAAGGCATGTACATGTTGTAGTTGTACTCCTGATTTATGTTTTATTTTAAAACAAAAATCTTGTAAACCCATCTTACTATTCTTGGGATTATTGTTTGTTTTACTAATGCATTTTTAACGGAACTGCAGTCTGTTATTACAGTAAAAGATCTTCTTGCTAAATAATAAATATACCTTATATATATATATATATATATATATATATATATATATATATATATATATATATAATATACCTTTCTAAGGTTTTGGCAATAGCAAAGAATGATATTTTTTTTCTTCTTTTCTGGTTTGTTTACTAAAATAGGCAATTGACTTTTCACGGCCATCAACAATTTGTGTTATTATGTTTCCAAATCCTTCTCTACATGCATCCGTGTAAAGCATTATTTCATGTTTCGGATTGAATATTTTTAAAATTGGTTCTGAGACTATAACTTTCTTCATTTCTTTAACAATTTTTGTTTCTTATTCTACTCATGTCCAATTTACATCTTTTTTTAGCAATTGCGTCAATTTTGCAGTGCGGCTTGCAAAATTTGGTATAAACTCTCGGAAAAATGATATCAATCCAATAAATTGCCTTAATTGATCAAGGAATATCCGAGTCTCTGGAAGAAGTCAAAAGTGTACCCAATATTCAGGTAGGTGAAAAGGGTCAGGTAGAAAACTACAGACCAATTTCCATTATTTGCAATCTATCGAAAGTCTTTGAAATAGTTTTGTATAATCGTATTTATTTACGCACTCGTAATCAGCTGTCTCAATATCAACATGGTTTTGTCTCCAATCGGTCCACTGTGACAAACTTATTAATGGTCACACAATATATCTCATCAGCCATAGATAATAGAAGTCAAGTTGACGTCATTTACGAAGGCATTCGACATAATTCACCACGGCGTATTACTTTCTAAGTTGTGTCTCTTTGGTCTTTCTGAGGATGCCGTGACTTTTATGAGGACTTGTCAAATAGAACGCAGTTTGTTGCTTATAATGGTTACAAATCGGAAAAGTATCTAGCTTCTTCATGGGTTCAACAAGGTTCTAATCTAGGTCCATTATTGTTCTTGTTATTTATTAACGATCTGTGTGAATCAATTTCTGCACCATGTTATGCTATGTTATGTATTATTAAAAGTTATTTATACTTATTCCAGAGATAGTTTTATGAAATATGCTGATATTAATGAATGTCTAGATAACTTAACTTGCAGTATTGAGAAACAGAAGAAGAACTGTCACATGCTAACCTACATCTGTCAGATTTAAAACTAAAATCTAATAATTAACACATAAAAAACTCATTGTGCCCGAGACTGAAATGCAGTGCATAAAAGTCCTTCCCCCTTTTAAATTTAATGTTTGTTTCGTCCCTTCTAAGTGTTTTCTGTTTTAGTGTGTTTTAAATTGTCCTTAATTGTTTTAATTCTAATATTTTATTTACTTGACTTTGGAATAATCTACTTTTTTGCCAATAGAACTTTATCAAAGAGATTTGATAACTACAAGTTGAAAAATAATTGCACACCGACACAATTTGTACATCTAAACTTATTCATTGTCATAAAACTGTCACCTTCATAAAACAATTACTCAATAAATAACACACATTTCATAAATATATCTCTGGAATAAGTATAAATAACTTTTAATAATACAATGGTATATTACATCACTTTCATTTAACAAACAATCACACACATATCTCTGCTTCATTGGATCAAATCTATCTCCTCAAGAACTTCCCGTTTACTGTCATACAACTACAATAGCAGAATTGAGTTCTCCATTCAACAATACATAGTAGTTTCAACCATGTTCTACCATCTATCAATTAATAGAGTACCGGCATGTAAGTAATGTTTATTTATTTGCTCACTTATTAATTTATTACAATCTAATAGACTATTTTATAACAATTTGTGGGCCTTACCTTGTCTGTTTAAACTTTTAAAACTTTTATACCTTTTTATTCAACTTACTCTTTTTGAAATAAAACCACAGACATGTAATATTGGCATAATTATTGTAATTTCCAACATCTACTTTGTTTACCTTTATTAGACAACACCCTAATATGGGTTTTTTATCATTTCAGCATTTGTTTAACTTTGTATCGAGACCTGAAGATGCTTTGCATATTGTAGAAAGCGAAACCGGTCGTCTGATAGTTAAATTAAACTGATTGTGAGTAAGTCTTATTTATTATTTCTTTACCTATTTGAAATGGACTCACACAAGCAACACATTCATGATTTTTTACTTTTCGCCACGAACTTAGGATACCAATTTTATATCTATCGCGTTCCGCTGTATTTATCTGTCATCACCGAACTACCTGTATCAATACTGTTCCAAGCTGATGACCATATAAGGAAATTAGTGTCTCAAGCCGATCACCGTATTAGGAATTGAGTGTGACTGCACAATGTCATAACAGTATTCCATCTTAAGTTGATTAGGACATTAGGAAGGTAGTGACTTAAGCTGATCAGCGTATTAGGATGATAGTGTGACTGCATTAGGCGTCAATCTTATTGAATTCTATAGGTCTTCATAAAAAGTTTACACTTCTTCGTCCCAGTCCGTAGATGTATGGACATATGCTTCAATTATTTTAACGCTGGTTTTATCGTTAAGTTTCAGTGTGAACAGTATAATTATTGGGTTAATTCCTTTAAGCTGTTGGATGTTTTTAGTTTGTATGTTATGTGTCATAAATCTAGTACCTATTTTTCTTTGTTCTCATATAGAAAAGTTGAAGCTCTTATTTTATAGATGCACTTTATTCTCCTTTGCGTTTGACTTCATAAAGACTTACAACGTCCCATTTTATATGATTTAAATCCTCTTCTACTTTCAGTAACTTTTCTTCCGATGCCAGTGTTTTTACATGGTATGTAAAAATATGCATTTGTCGTTCTTACCAAGGATCAGCTCACTGCCGAAGACTCACTAAGGGCCGGGTTTTTTAGGATTTTAGTCACACTTTACCGCGGTGAAGGTCAAAGTTTTAAAGGGAGAGATTGAAAAGGGTATGGGGACCTGGCCCCCTCAGGTAAGAATGAACGGGAACCAGAGATTAACATAAGATGCAGGATTAGCTAGCACGACCTCGGTGACCAGTTCACATCACCTCCACGTGGAACGACCATGCCCTCGAATTGCTCGTGTAGAATGTCCAATATTGCATGAGCTTTGTAATACGTAGCACTGTTATGTTGAACGCACATGTCGTTGGTGTCCATATCATCCAATTCAGCCGAAAAGAATTTGATTATCATCGGCTTATAGTGATCGCCGTTGACGGTGATACCATGGCCAACGTTGTTCTTAAAGAAATATAGGCCGACGACCCCGCCAGCTCAAAATCCACACCAAAGAATAACTTTTTCGGGATGTATTGAACGCTCTTGGATCTCATCTAAAGTGGTCTCATCCTAAATTTGGCAATTTTTTTTGTTGGTCTAGTCATTTATCCGAAAAAATGAGCCTTGTTCCTTCACAACATGATAATTTGTCGATGAAAACTAGGGTAAGTTTCCAACTGTCCCAGACCTCATTTACCAAACACAAGTGATTTTATCAATGGTAGTTTATTTTCAGCTCCTGGGTTAGTTGAATTTTATGTAAGTTAACGTTACCATACGAAATATATCACCTTGCTGTCTGTGTAAGGTTCGAGACTTGAAATCGACTTCTTCGACGGGCAGGGGTGATGTTTTCGGTAGGTATTGCATTTCCTCGAAGTACGGGTATTGATTCACTGTTTCCACCACACTGCGAATAGCCCTCTCAGTAGGACGATTATGACAACCGTAAATGGGTCACTATATCTCTCCATAGTGCTGTCTGTGAAAGGTTCGAGACTTGAAATCGACTTCTTCGACGGGCAGGGGTGATGTTTTCGGTAGGTATTGCATTTCCTCGAAGTACGGGTATTGATTGACTGTTTCCACCACACTGCGAATAGCCCTCTCAGTAGGACGATTATGACAACCGTAAATGGGTCACTATATCTCTCCATAGTGATTTAATAAAATAAGTTAAATAAATTATAGCCACTTTAACACATTACGCTTCAACAATTTGGCTGCTACCAACTTCAAATTTTTGCAGTCCCTATTCGAAGGCCCGTTATTTGTACAAATTAAATAAAACATAAAAAAACTGGATTATTAACAATTCTTTAAATACTTTTTTTTAGTTTAGGAAAATACAATCATATATTTTGTTAATAACAAATCACAAAACTTAAAATACAAACCAAGAGAATTAAAATTGAACTTAACAAAACAGATAATAAACATTTATACTATTTGTCTTATATATCTTATAAATATTTAATATTAAATTAACACAAATCTAGGATAAAGCTAGGTTTAAAATACTAAATGTTCCCAAAAACTTCTTTTGAAAGTATTAATTCAAAGATTCTTCGAACAAGCAGGTAAATTAAAACAATCTTCCGATGATTCTGTACTTATCACATCTACATCCTCCAAATTCTCTGTCTAAAAATTACACAAGTAGTTAAAGTTATATAAAGATTTATAAAATAATATTACAAAATTATAGGCTCTTCTAAAAACATGGATCTTAGTAGTAAAAAGTTATGATAAAAAGGATGTTAGCTATGTAATCCAATAACAAGCCATAGAAAAAAACGTAATTATTACATTCTTTAGGACAAGTCTTATATACCAACATATATAGGAGAAATTTTGGTCTGTAATATAATAAAATTCTGTATACTGTAGTCTATTTAAAAGTTCTGAAACATACAAAAATCCTGCAAAATCAACTAAAACAAAAAAACAGCTACTATAGAATCAAGCACTTCAGTGGTGTCATATGAAATAAACACTATCTTAAAGAACAAATTTACTTACATACTGAATTTTAAAAACAGTTTAGATTGTGGAAAGTCTGACCATCATACAAGAAACAGTGAGAGAAATAAAAGAACAACACCTGAAGAAAGACCAAGAGAAACGCAAATCGTGGATGACCGATGAAATACTTGAGCTTATGGATCAGAGAAAAAAAACAAAGAAAATCTCCAAGAATATAAGAGAATACATACAATTGTCAGAAGAAAAATAAGAGAAGCCAAAGAGAAACAAAAAACAGAACAATGTCAAGAAATAGAAGAGTATCAGAGTCGATATGATAATTTAATGTTCATCGAAAGGTGAAGGAAATAGCTGGAAAGTTTCGAAAACGCCACAGCGGAAAAATAACAGATACTGAAGGCAATCTTGCCATAACCAAAGAAGATAAAAAAATATGGGAAGAATACTTGGGGAAACTTTTCCATGACCTTAGAACAGTACAAGAGCCCACCGTTGAAGAAAATTCAGGTACCGAAATCCTACCAGAAGAAATAACGGCAGCCGTCAGAAAAATGAAGGATGGAAAGACACCGGGACTTGACGAAATTCCTGCAGAACTGCTGAAGCTATTAGATACAGAACAAATAAAAATAATAACTGATATATTTAATGAAATATACAAGGCAGGAAAAATACCAGTAGAGTGGCTCAAATTGGAGTTCGTACCATTGCCCAAAAAACCAGGAGCAAAAGTTTGTGAAGATTATAGGACAATAAGCCTAATGAGCCATCTGCTGAAGCTGTTTTTAAAGGTCATCCACAAAAGAATTTACCGGAAATGCGAGGAACAAATTGCGCCCAATCAGTTTGGATTTGTGAACACCGTTGGTACGAGGGAAGCTTTATTTAGCGTGCAGATCTTGTTTCAGAAATGTAGAGATGTCAGCTGTAATGTTTTTGCATGCCTGATTGACTACAAGAAGGCTTTCGATAGAGTCAGGCATGAACAAATGATGGAAGTGCTGAAGAGGACAGGGATTGATGGAAGAGACTTAAAAATTATAGCTAATCTGTATTGGAATCAATCAGCGGTACTCCGAATAGATGGAGAATATACAGAACAGATCAAAATATTAAGAGGAGTGAGACAGGGGTGCATAATTTCACCACTGATATTCAATCTGTACTCGGAGCACATTTTTGAAGAGGCCCTAAAAGATATTGATGAAGGCATCTCAATAAATGGAGTCAAGCTTAATAACCTGCGGTATGCAGATGATACAATAGTGTTTTCCAATACCATAGAAGGGCTGCAAAACTTAATGAACAAAATAACAGAAACAAGTAGAACCTATGGACTGGATATAAACACCAGCAAAACCAAGCTAATGATCATCAGCAAGCAAAACATAACTGGAGCAAATCTGTATGTGAACCAAATGAGAATTGAACGTGTCTCACAATACAATTACTTGGGAACTATAATCAATGAGTCGTGGGACAATACCCAAGAGATTAAATGTCGCATCGGAAAGGCCAAAAGTGCATTCTTGGCTATGAGCTCTGTGTTCAAAAGCCATGACCTCACCCTGAAAACAAAAATAAGGCTCCTTAAATGTTACGTATACTCAGTGCTTCTGTATGGAGTAGAAACGTGGACATTGAAGGCGGAAACTCTATCAAAACTTCAGGCGTTTGAATTATGGTTATACAGAAGAATCCTGAAGATACCATGGACAGACAAAGTCACCAATGAAGAAGTACTGCGGAGGATGAACACAACCGCGGATTTGGTCAACATTGTGAAGAGCCGTAAGCTGGAGTACTTGGGACATATTATGAGAAATCAAGGCAGATACGAGCTACTCCAATGCATTTTGCAGGGTAAAATTGAAGGAAAAAGAGCCCCAGGACGAAGAAGAATATCCTGGCTTGCTAACCTGAGAGCATGGTATAGAAAGACCTCAACACAGCTATTTCGTATAGCAACCAACAAAATCATCATAGCCAGAATGATCGCCAACGTTCGGAACGGACAGGCACCCTAAGAAGAAGAAGATTGTGGAATGTATACGAGCATTTATAAAGAAAAATCTCAACAAATTTACTAATAAGCAGTACGGTAGTCATTAAAATACACAAATATTTCATGTCATCATCATCATCATCCATTTTGAGTCAACTGCTGGACATAAGCCTCCTGTAACTAATTCCAATGCATTCTATCTTGAGCACCCTGAATCCAGTTGTGCTGAATGCGCTTGATGTCATCTGACCACCTTGTTGGAGGACGTCCTCGATTACGATAAGCATCGTGTCTAGGTCTCCATTCCAGAATTTTCTTCGTCCACCTTCCATCTTTTAATCTAGCAACATGCCCAGCCTAGTTCCATTTCAATGTTGTAATCCTTTGAACTGCGTCAGTAACACCAGTTTTTTCTCCTAACTATTGTATTTGATACTCTGTCTCTGAGGGATATATTCAGCATTGACCTCTCCATCGCTCTCTGTGCCACTTGTATTTTATTAATTACTTTTCTGGTAAGGGTCCATGTTTCTGCTCCATACGTTAGAACTGGGAGTACACATTGATCAAAGACCTTCCTTTTCAAGCACATGGGAATATCTGATCTAAAGACTTCTCTCAGTTTTCCGTAAACCGCCCATGCCAGTCCTATTCTCCTGTTTAGCTCCGTTGTTTGATTATCTCTTCCTAATTTAATCTCGTCGCCCAGATATTTATAGCTATACACCTGTTCAATTTGCGTGTCGTTAGTTGAGATGTTTTTCGCCAGTACAAGGTTGGTCATATATTGTGTTTTGGAAAAATTTATTTTAAGTCCAACTCATGTACACGAGCTCTGAAGGTCTTGAAGAAGCTGGCAGGCATGATCTACCCGGTCTGCAATAAGGACTATGTCGTCTGCAAATCTCAAGTTATTCAGAAACTCTCCATTTATGTTGACTCCAATATTCACCCAATTATTGTTTCTCATAGCACTCTGCAACAAAGCGGTGAATAGCTTAGGAGAGATGGTATCTCCTTGCCTAATACTCCTCTCGAAGGGAAATGTATTTATGTTGTCATAATATATTCTAGTCTACAAATATTAATATTAATGGCTTGTCGTATTCTGTTACTTTCTCTATTAAGGATTTTACTACTTGTAGGTGGTCATTCGTTTCAAAGCCACACCTAAATCCGGCCTAATGGTTGGTGAAAATCCAGCTTAGGTTCCAGCCTGTTATTAACCCATGAAGGACTGGAGTTGCCATATGGCAACACTGGTATTGACGTACGAATCTTATTATTTTGAGGTTATGTTAGTTTGTTTTGTTTCCAAGAACGTGCCGGTCTGCAGAAAATAAGTGATTTGAAGATATACACCTAACAAAAACTTAATTCGTTGGTGTTTGTGAGATTTTATAGTCACCGTTTTTGATAGTTGTAAAAATGGATATAAGATTTGTGTAAGTAGCTCAATTTGTCAATTACTTCTGAATAACTATTACATCTAACTGGCTAAAGTAACAATTATGCTCTAATAGAAAGGTCATTTTCCCTCTGTGAATATTTGACAACCCTTGAAAAAAAGCGATCTTTTACAATATTTTGTTTTTATTCATCGCGTTGCCATATGGCAACAAGAAGCTTTGAACATGGTTTACGAAGATGACGTCAACGTTAGAAATATTTATGTTGAGCCCCCAAATATTGGAGACCTCACTGATGAAGATTCTGGCGAGGAGGATGGGGGAGGATTCATCGACAATCTGTCTAGAAAACAGCTGGAAGCAAATGTTGAGGTGCAAATGTATGGCGAAGAAGCAGACAAGGAGGATGACGACATCGAAGAAGATGCAGTTCAAGCGATGGATATTTCCCAGGAAAGCAGCGGAATTTTCATCCCACAAACTACCTCTCAAGTGAAGAAAATTGAATATGAGTCCCTAAATTGGATAACGGGTGATTTGGTCGACAATTCCGCTAGTTTCCCAGAATATAGCTACGAACCATTCAATACGTTGACACCTGTCGAGATGTTCGAATTATTTTTCGACGAGGATATAATTAGTTACATTCTCAACCAATGCACGAGTTATGCACTTACGTCCCTGAAGGCGAATTAAATTACGACGAATCTATGGTGAAATACTTTGGACGCCACTTATGTAAACAGTTCATAAAAGGAAAGCCGATTCGTTTCGGATACAAAGTTTGGTGCCTCAACACTAAAAGTGGGTATCTTGTAAGCTTCAACATGTACTAAAGAACCGATCCCAAAGCAAATAATCATTATTATAAAGTTTTTGGAGCATGTGCGGCTCCATTCGTCACAATGCTCGATGAACTGCCCAATGATAAATCAAGATTACCCTACAAGTTTTTCTGCGACAATTTATTTACGAGCCTCCACCTTTTGAAACATATAAAGGATCGTGGCTATAGCCTTACCGGAACAATACGGGAAAATCGCATTCCCAAAAACTGCCCTATAGAATCGAAAGCTAATATGCAGAAACGCAAAAGGGGTGATGTAGAGTCGATTCTCGAGAGAGAAACTGGTATTATAGTTGTAAGATGGTTGGATAACAGCGTCGTAAGTGTAGCGTCAACATGTTATGGGGTGGAACCACAATCGCTCGTGAAAAGATATTCACAAGCTGAAAAGAAAATC